AACCTTTAGTCAAAATATCAAATGGCCTGGACGACAACAAAAGGCAAAAATGTCTTGGCGCGGAACGTGTTAAGTGAAAACAATTAAAACGAATGAATTTGCACAACGAAATGCAACATTAAGTTTCACAAAATATACCTTTCCATCTTTGTGAAAATCAACCATCAATTGTGAATGAAGGAAACCCGAGATCCGTCACATTGACGTGCTCGATCGTCCCATTATAGAACATCGACGAAACTTGTACGAAAGAAACAGTAGTTTATGCAACGGATGTACGACTCGGAATGGAATGAAAGAAACGAATAATTAGTTAGTCAAACAGGGAAACAATTGAACGGGGTCGTGGTTGCGCAGCAAATTTTTCTTGCCGGTTGGCAGAAGACGGTTACTCGTTAGGCCAGCGAACTAGAGCGAAAACTTCAAAAACTGGTGAGAGTGGCGTCGAGAGAGGCGTAGGCCGCGTTCTCGGCTCTGTCCAAAGCCACGGCGATGTTCAGAATCAATTGGAGAACTCCTCGTCTAGAAATAGTCAGTCAGCGATGGAATATTAATGATTCTCGAGGAAGAGGAAGACGCCGTTCGTTTCCTATTGTCTTCTCCTGGCATCGTCGCCTTCTCGCTCCTTTTTTACCTCACTCGATTTCACGATAAATAAGAACGACTTGTGGTGAAGAAGATCTTTTGCTGAAATTAACCCTTTGCCCTCGACAAATTTCTTTTGCTCCATTTACCAGCGGTTTATTTACGAAGTATCGTCACTTCAAATAGAATGAAATATATAATTGAAATGGCAATTTAACACGAAATTATGTCGATTATTTCTTACTAACGCGTGATGTCGTTTAAATTTAAACCAAGCATCAACGTGCATTATGGATTTGCTGGAACAAGCATAATGAACAAGAGTTAATGATACATGGTTTTAATCTTTGGAGAAATAATATCCTGTTTTTTAAACTTTCGTAAAAAGTTTATTATAGTGAATTATTCCAATGAGCGTCAATTTGAAACAGACTTACCACCGTCTCGAGAAATTTTTTTTCTTTTGAAATTCTTTTGTTCTTCTTATGTCGTTATTATAGCTTTCGCTCTAGACGTTTGTTCAGGTATTATACTATACATCACCAAATGTACACGTTCGTTAAAATCATCAGCAGATTATAAAAAGAGAAAGTCCGAGCTGTTGGCTAGATTTAAATACGACGTCTGCTCAAAAGGGGCAATCGAGTGCAAAGGTATTAACGATAGAATACTTGATGACTATTAGATGTTCGTTACTATCCGATAGATTCAGTGTGTGAAAAATGTAGATAAAAAAAAGTATTATTATTATTATTCGACGGAGACGCCAATACAAGCGATCGTACGAAATAAAATAAATAAATCATTGTTCCCGCATGGACAAACGATTATATTTCATCGGACATGTACCATACATTGTTACGCTCTTGTAAAAATGGGACAGAGACGAACTGGCCGCATTGCCGATTAAATCCCCGAAGGTCAGCTATCCCTCGTGCAACGACCCAATCGGATAAATAATTCACCTCGGAAATAACAGGGATATCTGGCAGATACCATCGAGAATTCCATTCTCATTCGCCCGAATCTTATCCGATCTCGTAGGCGAGATAATATCCTAGGGGCGCGGGGTATCCTTGGAAACTGGATGGCTCGCAGCGACGTCCGCCGGGGGAGTAGACGCCAGGACTAGACGTCCGGGCGAGACAGGTAGCGCGAGAGGAGGCCGTCGGCCTCGACTGTTCTCCAAGAGGTCGACCCACTTCGCCCAAAGGCGAGAGGGACCGTACTGGTAGCCAGTTACGTACATACACGTACACCTTACGCGTACGTAAATATATCTACGATCTTCTCTTTGCGTCATATAACGGCCTCCCTGCCTCACCCTTTCTCCGCCACTCTCCTCCGCCGTTCTTTGTCCCTCTTCTCTCCCCCTTCGATACGTCCGAGAGGTATTTCGAACACACCGTGTGTGCACGTTTCGGTAAAGCGACGCAGCCTCCCTCGAGGTTCTTCCTCTCCTCCGTTGTTCCATTTCACTGTTGCAAAAGTTGCAGTACGCGCCGCAACTTGCCCGATAAGCGAAGAGTATTTTGTAGAATATACGTACGTAAGTGCGCTGGGAGATTTCTTTCCTTTAGTGGGAAATAGTAGTTAAAATATCACACCGCTGACAAATGATTTAGGATCTCGATGACGTTTTCTTCTTCCATCTGGAGGAAAGTTTGACGTTCGACACTTTCGACTCTTCAATTCAGGCTCGATAGAGAAGACTTTAAATTTGCAGTGTTCTCAAAGATGAAAATTTTAAAAACCGAAAACCTGCAAACTGTTTCTCACAGACGTGTTTGCAAGCAAAAGTCGCGCGAAACGTGAATTTCTAACATAATTGAGTTAACTAATATTAATATTAATTTATAAATAAATCAACGTGTAATTAAATTAATAAAGTTTACGTTTGCTCCGAACTTTTCGTCTTTCCTGTTTTCAATTTGATAATCGTCAAAAACGCAAGTGATCTAAATATTATCTGAATTAAATCATTTAGACATTGCTCGTATATCCTTTCATTAAAAATCTCCGACTTGAAACAGTTCATGCTATCAAAAACGTCGTCAATGATAAAGATTTTTATAAATTTGAAAATAAACTCAATATAATTTTAATCACATCTATTTCAATTAACAATGTTAGTAATATTCATACCTCGATCAAATCGACTCGTAGAATAGAAACGGCTCGTACGAGTAATTCCAGTCACAAACGCTGTCTTTCTAGTCGAAGAAATTAACCGGTAGAAATTTTCCTTTCGATCGTCGAGGCCCGTGCCACTATCGGCTGTTTACGTTTCGTTTTGTCTGTCCTCGATGCGACATCGGTGTCGATGCGATTGTTAAACTCGGATCGGTCGTCGTTCGTACAGTATCGGCTTGTACTCCGTGATGTTCGCACCTGTTAGTGGTGGCCGTGGCAATTTTCGTTCATTTATTCTCGACACATCATCTTTATCCACTGTCAATCTTCCTCCGAACATTTTTAACGTATAGCGTATGTATATGATTATTGTTTCAAGATTATTATTTCAAAAGATTATTATTTTAAAAGTTTCAATTAAATAACGTCTCTTTTCTTTTATTAAAAAAGGCAACAGAGCTTGAAATATTTGACCTAGTAATACTATTTTTTTTAATTAAATAAAAGGACGACGAAGCTTGAAATATTCGATTTAATATGCAGTGGAATTCCGAAAAATCCGATTTAATAACAGCTTCCCTTTTTAATTGGAAAATCACGAAGATAATGAAATTTGAGACTTTTCTCTAATTAAAAGACACGAGTAAAATACACTAAAAACTGGACTTATTAAAATATTCGTAAATCAATTAAATAAAAAAAAAATCTTCTTTTCCAATTAACAAAATACGAAGACAATCGAATTTAATAATAATATTTTCTTGAAACATTTTTTTTTTTTAATTAACACTAGAACTACCG